AGGGTGCAGGGGGTGGAGGTGAGGGTGGTCAGACCAAACACACAGCACTGTGGTTCCCGCGGGGTCTCAGAGCTCCTGGGTACGGAATGTCCTGGAATGATGGGAGGTGAGGAAAGTGTAGCGATGCAAAGAGATAAAATAGCTTGGATTTTAATTAAAACTCTGTATGACAGAGCAGCAGTGTTTCAGGGGTGAGACCACAACAGGAAAGCAATAGTGTACACATCTTATTTTCACCATTTAAAAGGGGCAGGAACTTACTCCTGTTACTACTTTCTTCCAGGCCTGGCCTCCAGCCCAGGGAGGTGGTTGTGGTCCTGGAGCAGTTCCTGCAGGAGGGCAGGCTGTCAGCACTGCTGTGGGAGGGCTGTCAGCAGCAGGCACAGGCTGCCTGCCCAGAGCTGCAGGACAACCTGCTCAACAAGATTGTGTGTCTGCCTGAGCACGTGAGCAATAACCTCCAGGGGAAAAACCCACCAGTCTTCTTCCCACAGAACTACTTCCCTCTCCTGGGGGGTGCAGTTCTCCAGGTGCTGCAGCAGATCTCTGACTCTCTGCGAGGTGAGGCTGCAGGGGGGCTGTGCCTCTTCTGAACACTGTTTTGTGCATGGGCCCCTTGGCTGCTGCTTGAAGTACAGATAATGAGTGTTGCAGAGCCTCACATTCATCCCTCAGGCTAGCCTAAAAGATCCCAGGAATGGGGAAGATAGCTGAGGATTCCTGAAGCCCTGCTGAAAGCTGCAATCCTACAAGTGATTGCACAGCATTAAAGCTTCATTGTGGTCACTTGATGTGTGCTGAAGGAATTGTATGGGAAATTTAATCCGTGTTGAATGAACCAGTGGCTCTGTTGCCAGCCCATGAGAGAAGGACTGAGCTGCCTTAGCCTCCTGCCTGCCACTGTGTGAGCAGTACTGAGTGCTGACCTGTGCCTGAAGGCAGGTGCTGGAGGGAGGAAGAGATGATGCTTGAAGTTAATCTGTGCTCTCAGGCTTCAGCACTTGTAGAAGTGTCTGTACCTCTTCCTGAAGGTTGGTTGGAGGCTGCTGGTAATGCTCATGTTAAGCTCGTATCATATCTGTTTTATCCCAGGTGGCTTGGACTGCTCCATCTCTTTTGTTTCTCATGTGCTGGGGAAGGTGTGCGTTCATGGAAGGCAAAGTGAGTGTTTTACATTGCTGTTTTGGGTAGGGGGAAACTGTTTTAATGTATGAGTATGGGAGGATGCCTGTGATGATGGTGATTAACAGAGGGAGTGGGAGGCTGCCCAGTTAATTAGGGGTTGAGCTGAGTGGGAGGCTGCCCAGTTAATTAGGGGCTGATCTGAGTCAAGTTCTGTGTGGTCTGCTCAGCTGTGTGTCTGGTAGAGATGCTGGTGCTTTTCTACCAGCTCATAGGGATGGACCCGTTCTCTCAAAAACTCCTGGGGAGAACATCCTCATCAGGATGAGAATCGGGATGGGCAGATTCTGCCATTTGGGGCATGACTATTAATTGCTCTTCTAGTGATTTTCATGCCTGAAAGTGCCTTGTCAATATCAGTGTCAGTCAGTGCCCATGTGCAATAACCCTCTGGTGGCTTTGCTCAGGACTTTGAAGCTGCTGAATGCAGAAGTAGTTAATGGGGCTGGGGGAGAAGAAGAAAGATTTTTTCTGGCTGTTGACTGTGATGAGGAATGGGACAGTTGCTTAGACTGCTGAGATTAGTTCTTACCAGTTTGCTCTTAGTTCTCCAGTTCTAGCTGGAGTGTGTCTAAAGAGGAGCAACAGAGCTGGGGAAGGGTCTGAAGCACAGGTCTGATGAGGAGCAGCTGAGGGAGCTGTGGGGGCTCAGCCTGGAGAAAAGGCGTCTCAGGGGGGACATTCTCACTCTTACCACTCCTGCCAGGAGGTGCAGCCAGGTGGGATCAGACTCTGCTCTCAGGGAACAAGTGAGAGGACAAGGGGAAACTGCCTCAAGTTGTGCCAGAGGAGGTTTAGGTTAGATATTGGGAAAGTTCCTTCACCAGAAGGATGTTCAGGGACTGGCATAGCTGCCCAGGGAGGTGGTGGAGTCACCATCCCTGGAGGGATTTAAAAGATGTGTAGATGTGACACTGACACTTGGGGACGTGGTTCAGTGGTCTTCTTGGCAGTGCTGCATTAATGGTTGGACTTGATGATCTCAGAGGGCTTTTCCAATCTAAAGGATTCTATAGTTCTATCATTTCTACTACAGGAGCAATTTAGAGCTGCAAACTGCCTTGTGTTTCTTCACATTGTCAGAACCTTGAAATTCACAGGCTGAACTCAAGTGCCATTGCACCAGTCCTGCCCATCTTGGCTATTTACTGTTTTCTCTTGCACTTCAGAGGAAATCCTGGGTGTTGTGGTGCCCCAGCTGACTGACCTCACCAGGGCTGACTGCATCTGGCAGAGGATATGCTGGCGCCTGGTGGAGTGTGTGCCAGACCGATGGATGGAAGCAGTGGTCCTTGGCTTTGTGCAGAGAGCACCTGGGTAAGAGCTCTGCGTCCTCCCTGATCCAGAGCAAAGCCTGAGTGTTGTGCCAAACACTTGGAAAATCAGTGTTTGAAAGGTGCTGTGCTGGTGTAGGTGTTTTTTTACAGTGCCATTTCCTGCAAGACTTGAGGGGTAAAGGAGTTACTGTTGCCTCCCAGGTAGAACCTACCACCATTCCTTAAGGATCCACATCATGACAGGCAGTGAAAATTCAAGTGAAAACATTCTTTGCCATCACTGACTCGCTGAGGGTTTGAGCTGTTGGTTGCAAATTGCTGCTCTCAGGTGTTGCTAGGATTAGGAGCAGCCTGACAGCAATTACATGAATTCCTGATGTTTTGTTGTTGACCTGTCTTGCTAGGGCAGATGTCTTGTCCAGACTGCTGGGGAACCTGGTTGTGAAGAACAAGAAGGCTCAGTTTGTGGTGACACAGAAGATGCTGCTGCTGCAGTATGGCCACACGGTGAGGACTCTGGTGGGGAGCAGCAATGCTGTAGTGTCTGGTTTTCCCCAGTGCCAGTGTGTTTTGAGCTGAGCTCCAGCTCTTCCTGAGTCAGGTTTGACTCTTCATTCCAGAATGAGCCCTCAGTCTCTCCACATGTGTGAGGCTGTTCCCTGACAGCCCTTGGTGGAGTGGAATGGAGAGGGAGTGCTGAGTGGTTCTTTGGGAACATGGGATTCATGTGCTCTGTAGGGGCTGGAACCAGGTGGTTATTTGCACATGATTTCGGTGTTCTGGGGAGCTGGAGACATTTGGTTAATTTAGAATCTGAAAGAGGAGACTGAAGCAGCCATGACCAACCCTTGGGGATAAGTATTGGATCAGAGAGATGAGACTAGGACTGTTGGTTTTTTTTCCTGTGCACCTAAGTTTGTCACGAGGTGTTAGGGAATGTTCTGTGGCTTGTGATGCTGTCATGACAGATGTTCTCTTGAATTTGTCTATTCTATGCTTGCCTGGGACTGTGCTGGTTTTGTTGGTAAAATTTCTGTATTCCTGTCACATTTTCCCACGTGTTTCATCAGCAACTGCAGGTGTGTGTGTTTGATTGGGTTTTTAAATGTGCTTACTTTTCTGGCTCTGAATGTTCCTTGCCTCAGAAGGAAGTTGAGTGTAGTGAAAACACAGTGTCTGTGCTGGATTCATGCCCATTTAAAGCAGGAGCTGTGGCTCTCGTTGCAGACAGAAGTGCTGCAGAACCTCCTTGGCTACCTGTCCCTGGACAACCTCCGTCGTGCTTTGCTGCTCAGAGTAAGGATCAGTCATGTTGTTGGTGAGGTGTCTGGTGGAGAACATTCTGCTGGGTGTGTCTCTGGGCTGCATAATGTTGGTACTTCTCTAAGGTTCTTTGGTTCTCATGAGAGTGAGGGAAGCCCTACCATGTCACAAGTAAACTGCCATACCAAATCAAAGGCTCTGTGCACTGCTGGCTTTAGTCTTTCATGTCTAATTGGTAAATTGTCTTCTAAGTAGCAAAACTAATGAGGCTTGGATTCTGTCAGATGTGTCATATCCTCCATCCTTCTCTGTCATCCCATTTGTGTGGCTGACCAGATAGCAGCAAGGGGTGAGGGTGGTGGAGAGCTGTCTGTGTGCTAAGTGGTTGATGCTTCAGAATCTCTCTCATCTGCCTTTTCCTCAGTGGGAATGTCAGATATTTTCCCTCTCCAAGTCAGCAGTGTGATGGAACTTCTATGAAATTTGTATCTCTGGGAATATCTATAATTTTGTCATATTGTATTTTTTTCACTGGTTACATGTTCTAGAATGATCTGAAAGTACTGACAGCTGTGTAAAATTGGACTAAACTCAGATAAAACCATATAATATTCTGGGTTTTGACAATGATAAATATTGCTTTGCATATGATATTTATCTATGAGAAATCAATGTTTATCCCTTCCAGATTTAAAACCCCATTATATTTAACAATATCTTAACCAGAGGTGACGTGGAGTTCTCAGGTGGTGAGCAGCACATTTTGGCCCTGAAATACAAACTTAGCTCTGTTTTGTAGGGAATATAAAAATATACTACAAAAAATGAGTTCTGTGTAGAAAAGATCCATCTCAGGCCAACCTGAGTTCTCTGGTTCAGGTGCTGCAGGAGCTGTTGGAGACCTGGGGCAGCAGCAGTGCTGTGAAACACTCCCCACCTGAGCAGCAGCTCTATATCAGCAAGGCCATCCTCATCTGCCTCTCCCACCTGAAGGAGACAGAAGTGGAGAGCTGCAGACAAGGTGAGGCTGTGTGTATGTGGCTTAAGGGGGATGACAAAGATTGACTTGAAGATTTGCTCATCTGTGGCTTTGAAGCACTCTAAAACCAAACTAAAGATTCACTTGACTTTCCATCCTTTTTTCTTTCAGTGAAAACCAAAATGTTTCAAATGGAGAATCTCTTGTAAGGTTCTGCTTGTTGTCTGTTTTTTTTTCAGAGCTTCTCACCAGCATGATGGAGGGTGTGAAATGCCACTTGGACAGCAGTTTGCCACAGCTGCGGCGCCTGGGAATGGTGGTGGCAGAGAGCATCAGTGCAAAAATCAACACTGAGGGGCCTGTCCTGAAGTTTGAGGTGAAGGCTTTGCTGAAATTTATGTCTTAGAGGAAATAAAAGCTTTAAAGCAGATAATCCAAGGCATTATAGCAAGTTCTAACACATTATCCGGAAATAAGGAGAGGCAGCAACACCTTCAAAGAGAAGGTGTTGGCAAAAAAACAGTTGTAAAGGAATTGGCCACGTGGCTGAGAGTGACCTCAGGAGTGCAATCTGCTTGGCAGAGTTCAGGGTAAACTGTGGGTAATAAAGGAGATTTATCATATTGCATGAGGGAATCAGAATCTGACCCATGGGAGTTGAGAGAAAACTTCAAACCTAAACCAGTGATGAGCATTCAGTCCCTGACACGGTGGGAAGAGCTACTCTGAGCTGGGATTTTCAGGACTGACATGGAGATACATGCTCTGCTCTTTCCAGTGGAGTTTATAAGTGATTAAAGTACATTCATTTTTTAAAAGCCTGCAGCACCCCTTGTGTCATGTTGTCATTTTTTAAAAGCCTGCAGCACCCCTCGTGTCACGTTCCCATTTACTTATATTTTAAAGGCTGAAATAACATTCACACAAGACGTGATCAGGTGCTGATGTTAAATATGGGGACAAAGATGACATAGGCAGCATGTTAAATATGGGGACAAAGATGACATAGGTGGCACAAATACAATGCTGCTGGCAGGGCAGGGGTTGAAACAAGCAGGTTTGGTGGGGGTTCAGCTGCTCCTGATCCAGTCCATTCGCAGTAGAAGGGTGAAGTGCTGAATGCTGGGCATGTTTGCAATGCAATAGAGTGAAGCTATGGTTATTCTGAATGTCTAGTATGAAGAAGATGATGAAACAAGAGAATTGAAGTCCCTTCTGGTGCAGACTCCACCATCCTGTGTTGTCCCCAGCCTTCCAGAGGATGAGTAAGTTATTGCTACTATTCATACCATCTTTTTGCCCTTCTCCATATCTGTTTTGAGTTACACACTAGGAGTGTGTGTTCAGTATTCAAGCTGTCTTACATACTCTGCAGTGTTATAATGCACTTTCTTCTTACAGTGCAGTTACATTGAATTCACAGTTCAAGTGGTAGTATGTATTAAAATTGCCAGTTGGATATCTGCACATGGGGGGACTGTGGTGCAGGGGTCATGTGTGCCCTGGGTAGAGTCAAATGAGAGATCTGGCATTTGGGCCATGCCCTCATGCAGCCATGACAAAAATCTGCTGTACCTGTCAGTTAAAGGCTGGTTCTTTGGTGCTCTGAACTTCCAGAGCATCTGCTGAGGCTCTCTGAAGCACTCAGTTTGATCAGCAGAGAAGCTGTCCAGCACTCAGGGAAGTACAGAAAACTTCCTGATCCCATTTTAGGGTGTGATCAGCACAGACAGCTGTTCGGGACAGCTTTAGAGATACAGGGAGATGAATACAGGACAATGCCAAAGTGCACAGAAATAGGTAGAGACAGAAAAATATGTTCTCAATTATTGTATTCATCCTATTGGCAAAGGTTTAAAATGCTTCTTCCCCATTTCATACAACCAGGGGTTTGGGTTGGAAGGAACCTTAAAGCTCATCCATTTCCACACCTTGCCATGGGCAGGGACACCTTCCACTGGCCCAGGTTGCTCCAAGCCCCATTCAACCTGGTCTTGATCACCTCCAAGGATTCTGCTTCTCTTTTCCCCTCACCCCGTTGTCCTTTCCAGGACTTTGTTCCTTGTCTCAGCCAAGCTGGGTGTGAGACTGCAGCAGGAACAGTGAGTAAGGACTCGTACTGGATTCATTTTAATGCTTCTTGTTCCTCACAGCAGGAGTGAGAAAACAGATGTTGCACTGCCATTGGTACCAGAAAGTAACAAGAAATCCCATACAGCAGCTCCTGTGGTGCCAGATGAGGAGTCAGAGGCTGAGCTTGACAGGTATGGGGCAAGAAACTGGGAGAAAGTGGAAAATAAATGGCAGATGTGGGGAGAATGGAACTATCAGCATTTCTTGGCAAATACTGTGATTCCTGACCTTGTTCAGCCAAGTAGTTTGCAACAGAGCAAGGCTTTGTGCAGGAAATTGCACAGAAGTGTTAGTCAAGAAATTAAAGCCTACATTGTGTGCAACCACTGTATGTAGTCCATTGGATTTAGATACATGTTTCCTGCAAATTGTGGATCTGTTTCAGTAGTGGACCTGCCTCACCCTGTCACTATGTAAAGAATTATGTCAACATGTAACAAAAATCTCAAGTCACCTTCTAGTCTCTTGGTCACTTGATTTCTTCCTGCACTCGACCAGGAGAGCCAGTTCCAGATCTGGTCACAGAATGGTCCTTTCTCTGAGTAATTCCCTAAGGATTCCCCTCAGGCCAGGCAGTGCTGCTGGGTTATGCAGGAGGGATGGTGTTATGGCAGTGTATGTGCTGGTTCTTTCCCTTTGGCTCACTGGGGAAAGGAGGAACATCCCACCCCACAAACCGACTTTTGCCTGTGTTTGTTTTACAGTGATGATGAGCTCGTCCCTTATGACATGTCAGAGGACAAAGAGCTAAAGATTAAGGCTCCTGTGTACATCCGAGACTGTATCGAAGGTAAGAGATTTGGGGCTGAGTCTTTTATCTGTTTCTCACCAGGTTTGGCAGAGTGAGCTCTGTGCAGGTTTGTTTCTTCTGAGCTAATGTGAAGAAACTGTAGGATTTTTGAGTAATTTCAGTTTAGTTCCTAGTGGGTCAGTGATACCTGTCTGTACCAAGACAAAGGATTGGCAGAAGTTGGGGTATATACCAAGCACAACCATTCTGTGAGTAACTTTTGCTTGTCTTTTGATTACCTTCAGTCCTGACAGGATCTGAAGATGTGGACAAATGGGAAGCTACAGTCAAAGCTCTCGAGGGCTTGGTCCGGAAGAATCCAGCAGCAACAAGAGAGGTGAAGTAGCATGACTGGGGTTACCAGTGGACTGCAATACCAGAGGCCTCTCCCTCTGCCCTCAGAGCCTCATGTAGTCCTGGATTAAAGATAGATGCCAGCAGCTCCAGCACTCAAAGTGTGTTGCAAGTAGAGTTTGTGCTGGGCAGGGAAAAACGTTAGAAAAGCAGATTACGGAGCAGCCATTTTGGATTTAATTGGTTTTGAATTGAAATTAATTGTTATTCCCCAACAAAAAGGGAGATAAAATCAAATGGGCTTTCCCTGTTTGCTTGTACAAGCATAATGTCTTCCAGAGGGAGTAGGTGAATTGTACTGGTCAAGATGAGAAGCTCAGGTGAGAGGAACCTGGGACAAGGTCACTGCAAGGAGAGCTCACCACTACCTGGTAGTGGACACTTGAAGGTGGCAGAGACACAGGCCAGGAAAGAGATGGGGTGGGGTACTGTGCCCTTCAGCCCAGCACTTATAGTGGCAAGTCATCCTATGTCATGATACCACCACTTCTCCAAAAAGCCCTAGAGAATGTGGGCAGAGAATTGGCAGATGGGGTTTTGTTCAGGGGTTTGAGAAGTCTGTCTTGATGGCATTTGGCTTAATGTGTTTTCTCTCTCTCCTAAGTAATGGACACATTGTCTTTATGGAATGCCTCCTTGTCTTTATTTAAACATTGGAAATGGTGTGTAATTCCATGAGGAAAATGCCTGCAGGGATTTGATTCCTTTTTTCCATATTTTGAGCAGGTTAGTGTGGAGCTGGCAAAAATATTACTGCATCTGGAGGAGAAGACCTGCATTGAAGGCTTCGTGGAGCTCCGACAGAGAGCCCAGGTGGCTGTTTTAACCACAGATCCAATACCTGTGAGTCCCTCTTACTGCTTTCCTTTTCCTGGTTGAGGCATGGACAAAAATGGAAGCAGCTGAAGCCTCATGGAGGCAGCTGTCAGTGTGGTGGAACAGGTAGTCCAGGTCTGACAGCATTTATGCAGCTGAAGCATCTGCAGGGGATGACTGAACCCACAGGAAAGAGAAAACCCTGTCAGACTGGAGGAACTGTTTGGAGGCTGTTAGTATGAGTGTACCTGACAGTGCAGGTTAGATAAGGACTTGTTGCACTGAAGGGTTTCACACAGGGAAGCTGAGGCACAAAGGGCTTCTACAGAGATTGTAATCACAGAATCCCAGGATGGTTTGGGTTGGGAAGAACCTTTAAAGACCATCTTATTCCACCCCCTGCCATGGCAGGGACACCTTCCACCAGACCAGGTTGCTCCAAGTCCTGTCCAACCTGGCCTGGAACACTTCCAGGGATAACACAGCCACATCTTCTCTGGGCAGTCTCTGCCAGTGGCTCACCAACTTCACAGGGAAGAATTCCTTCATTACATCCAATCTAGCTCTATTCTCTGCCAGTTTAACACCTTTACCCTTCATCCTGTCAGTACAGGCCATGGTAAAAAGTCTCTATCTTTTGTTCGCCCCCTTTAAGTACTGAAAGGCCACAGTGGGGTCTCCTCACTGCTGTGGCAGTTGTTTGGGTACCTCTGCGTAGGAGGGAGAGAAGAATGGCAAAGTCCTGTTGGTCATGTACTTCCTTTGCGAGAACCTAGAAGTGGAAGTGTCTGAATTTCCCCTCTTCCCTTCCCTTGGAGGCTTGCTGTTGCTGACCAGGCAGCAGGACCTGTGGAATGGAATGCCTGTAGAGGCAATGGGAAGGCTGTTTCCAGCCTGGGGCTGTGTTCATTGTACCTTGATTTTCTGTGCAGGTCACAAAGTACTTGACGTCCCAGTTCTACTCTCTGAACTACAGCCTCCGTCAGCGCATGGACATCCTCGATGTGAGTGCCCTCCCTGCCCACCTTCCTTCTGTCTCTTGCACCAGTGCTGAGGTGCAGTGGGGTTACCTTTTATTCCTCATGGGAGGAGACAGAGGCATGAGAATCTCTTACATTAGTATTTGAGCCTGGCATTCCCCTCTTCTTCCTAACCCCACAACACTCCACTCTACAGGGATCCCTCCCTGCAGGATGCAGAGCACGTGTTGGGCATTTCCCTGGGAGAAGCCACTGTTTCCTTCCCTGTCATCAGTCTGTTTTATCTTCCCGTTCTGAAGGACAGCAGTCTGCCTGTGTCTGTGCCTCCTTCCACTCCTTTTCACTTCCCATGTCTGAAGGAGGAGCCACTGCTCTGTTTCAGGGCTGAGCAGCCATGTGCCTGATCAGTACCTCAGAGCCAGGTGGCTGTTGGCAGTCAGTTCCCTGCTGTTCTTCACTTTAAATTTGTTGTGCTTTTCTGCCTTGCTCCTATTAGTTTGGGTACAGGTGAATTTGTTGTTGTTCCCTGGGGATTACCTCTTTTTAACCAAACCTCTCTCTTCTTCATCTAGGTATTGGTTTTGGCAGCTCAGGAACTGTCCTGTCCCAAACTGCATGGGAAGACTAAGCATTCTGGTGCTCAAAAACCTCTTATCCAACTCCTTCCTGGAAGTGACAGCTCTAAGGATTGGAGAAGAATTGTCGATGAGAGGATCCAAAGCAAGACTCGGAGATTTGCTACGGTAGGGGCAGGGCAGAAAGCAACTAATGTCCAACCCAATAAAAACAGGGACACTCAGAGTTGTTGTAGTCTGGAAAGGGCAAAATACCTGTGAAAGTGGGCCCAGCTCAAATGAAAAGCTCTAACTTCCAACTTGTGTGGTCCTCTCCCAGTAGGAAGAGAAAAACATGAAAAGCTCTAACTTCCAACTTGTGTAGTCCTCTTCCAGTAGGAAGAGAAAAATAACCCTGGAACTCCTGACCTGGCTTTGAGGGATAGTTGTTGCTGTTCTGTGCTTGTTCTGAGCTTGTCTGGCCGCTGCAGGGAGCTGTGACTGCACCTCACAGGTCCCAGGGCCTCCAGCAGACTAATTGCCTCTGGACTGGACTGTCTCAGCCTTCCTATTTTCCAGGGAGATAAATTGCTGCCAGTTTCCTAGTTCCCAGGATTCCCCTGTGGTTCAGCCTGGAGAGTTTGCTTTCCAGAACTCCTTTATCCCTTGCCTGTTTTTGTTCCTTATACCTAACCCAGCAGTACTGAGCTGTATTGTACTGAAATGTTTAGATGTGGAGAGGATCTGTAGTGGGAAGTGGGCAATCCAGTTGGGAAACTGGTAGCCACAGGTGTACAAGCAGTGGCTGGCAGTGGACTGGCTGCAAGGAATCTGTAGTCTCACTGGTGTGCAGTGACATGGGTGAGCTGTGTCTAGACTTTGGTTTTCTCTTGGACAGGGTCAGTCTCAGGTGGAAGTGGCTTCCAGCCCAAACAAGTTCAATTCTGTTGCTGGGCACTTCTTTTTTCCATTGATCCAGCACTTTGACAGGTGAGTGTGAACACCTTGGGATGTGGGCATGGCAGCTGCCAAAGGGAACCTTTCTGCTTGCCTTGGAGCAGCAGGAGCTGTGCAGGAGCCCCGTGGCACCACACTGATGCCTGGGTCATTCACAAAGCTTGGAGAGCAGGGGGTTGTGGTCTCTTGGACTTACCCTATGAAGCCTTTTGGGGCAGGATGGGGGAGTATGTAAGACCCTGCAGAAATGAAGTTCCATCATGAAGGATAGCCTGTCAGCAGACACAGGTGAAGGTTTTTGGCAGTACCACACCAGTTGTCTTGGCTGAGCCTCTACCATGGGAAGTTCACACAAACCACAGAGCTCAGATGCAGTCTTGAACCAAAGCTTTTGCATGCAGGTCTTTCCAGGTAAAGCCTGTTGGTAGAATGTGTGATACCTGCTGTAAGAATAGAGGATATTGCTGGTCTGGGAGAAAAGATGAGAGCAAACAGCTGTGGGCTGTGTTAGCCTGGTAGTGACTGTATAACAACTGTTGTAGGGATTCAGGCTTATGACCCCCCCTGACTGTCCCAAAGATGCACTGATCAGCCTTCTCACTGCTGTAGGACTCTGTGTCTTGCACTTGCAGGCCTCTGACAACATTTGATCTCCTGGGGGAAGATCACCTAGTCCTTGGAAGACTGGTCCACACTTTAGCAGTGCTGATGTACTTGGCTGTCAACACTGTGGTAAGGAATGGCAGGGAGCAGGGGAAACTTCCAGCCTGGGAGCTAGAGGTGCCTCTGCAACAGCAGTGTGCTCTGGGGCCTGCTGCACTGAGACTGGCAGAAACTTTGAGTTGTGTGGGCTGGGAAGTTGTGAAATGGGCTGGGAAGAATGGGGCAGAGAAGAGATATGAGATTCAAGCTACCCCTGCACGGCTGGGAAGAATGGGGCAGAGAAGAGAGAGTGCAGGGGTAGCTTGAATCCCATATCTTTTGCTTCTTGTAGGAAAACTTCTGTGAGGGGTTGGGCATATCATTTCACTTTACTGCCAAATAGTGAAACACTCCTCTGTAAAACAGATTTAATTGTAGCCCTGATCTGTACAAAATCTTTGTTGGAGGAGTGTTTGGACAATGCTCTCAGGCACGTGGTGGGATTCTTGGAGTTGTCCTGTGCAGGGCCAGGAGTTGGAGTGGTGATCCTTGTGGGTCCCTTCCAGGCCAGGACATGCTGTGACTCCATTCACAGTGTGTCTCAAGGCCCAGCTCTGTGGAAGGTGTGGATGGGAAGGTGTTGAGTGGTGCTGTCACAATCTGTTTTGCAGGCAGTGACAGCAATGGGGAAGGCACTGCTGGAGTTTGTTTGGGCTCTGCGTTTCCACACAGACTCGTGAGTTACTGGAGTTGTACACTTTCATTTTTAAGCTGAGCTGTGAGCCAGGCTCCAGCCATGGTTCATCTTTGTCCAAGACTAGCACCTGACTCAGAATGTCAGTGGCTTAGTGCAGTAACTCTGGTTCTCCTCCAGCCCCGTGTTCTTATGATTGAGTTTAATGCCAGACCAGCAATGAACTTGGCTGGTGTTTTCTAGTATGGCACTACAGCCACTACCTATAAAATACTTGGCACATTTCCTGACCACCTATCCATGTGATAGTTTCATCTGTCTTTACTCAGGGAGCTCAGAAAACTTTAGATTCAATCCCAGCATCAGCCTTGGAAAGGAATACGTAGCCAAAATGTTTTAAACATCCAATTTCTGTTTTGATCTCAGACTTGTCCAGGGCTCTGATCTGTGCCAGACTCCTGTCACACAGCATGGCAGGGGCTCTGGATGTGGGCACACTGCTGGCTGGTGCTTGGTTATACCCCTAATCACCAGGAATATGGCAAAAGCCATCATAATCACAACCATTTGAACATGGAGAGCCCCTGGGGTGAGGAAATCAAGGCAGAGCATAAAGCTGCAGGCTCTGACCAGTTCAATCCTTCCCTGCAGGTATGTGCGCCAGGGCCTTTTGTCCTGTGTGTCCTCCCTGCTCCTCAGTGTCCCTGGGGAGAGGCTGCTGGCTGACATGGCAGAGGAGCTGCTGGAGACTCAGTCCTGGCTGGGAGGTAAGTCCTGCTGGGGTACCCAGTGCTTTTCTGGTCAGTGGTGCAGTCCTTGTGCAGCATCTCTTTCATTGTGATGGCAGCAGTGATGTGCTGGTGTTGTGCACTAGAGATTTGCATGACCAGCATACTTAGGGCAGGCAGAGCACCCTGTGTGCTGTGGGGGATGCAGTACTGAGGTATCTAAGGCATAAGAGCTGTGTGTGGCATTTCAAACTGTGACTGTCCTCACAGGACAGTCCCCAAAGATATTCTGTGCCCCCTTTATCTGTCTGAGCATCCAAGCACCCCCTTGTGAAGCTGCAGAAAGTGTGGCCACATTGCCTGTTACACCCAGGCAGTGACTTTGGCCAGCAGTGTCACACAAGGCTTGTACAGCCCATTTGCACCATGTGCACAGGAGAGGAGGTTTGTTAGTGCTGAAAACAGGAGGAAGAGGAGTATGGCCCCATCAAACTTCCTATTGCCTGGGGAAAGAGCAGCCTACAAAAGACAGCAAATGACTTTTCGTGCTGCATCCAATGCACCTTAGGTCAACCCAAGCTGTGTCCATGGGTTCTGGCAGGCTGGAGCTGCACATGTCAGCACTCTGGTACCACAGGGAGATGCAGGGAAAAGAGGAACTAATGCTGAAGCCTCTACTGTGTTCTAAGTAGACCACTGAGTGACTCCCTGCACTGGTTTCCTTCACCATTCTCACTCTTGGTGAGTGGTTTCCCACAGGGAGTGAGCAGGAAGTGACACTGACCCAGCTGGCTTCTGATCCTGGCAGGTTGGGGAGCTCTGTGCCCTTTGAAAGGAAGAGAGCTGCCTTGTGGGGCTGAAGACTTCACTTTTCCCATGACATGGTGTGCTCTGAGGAATCTGCTTGTCTCTGCAGTTAACACTGCTGTTCCCAAGTGAAGCCTTTCAGGAGTGTATTTCCAGCACGAGGGTCTGTGTAATCTGTTTTTAGTGAGTTCTTTTGGGAAGGAGGAGAATCACAGAGCACCTTCTCATGCTTGTAGGTAGTGAAATAGCCATCTCTTCACATGTAGTGCTTTTGCATGAAAACTGCATGGTTGATCCTGGTGGGAATGGCAGAAGGGTAATACCAGTTGTGGGTATAGCAGAGAAGGGGAAATTGCTATAGGAATTGTTCAGAAAGCTTAAAGAATTCAACATCTGGTCAGACACAATTTAAGTGCAATAGAAAGAGTTTCTAGAGCTGCTTCCTGAACATCAGCTTCTTGGGTTGTGCCTCTTCTCTCTGTCCTAAGGTTGTTGGTAAAATGGGTGCACAGGGAGGCACCAGGTCCTCCTTGCTGCTCCAACAGGTCAGATGTGACACTAGAGACCTTCTGTGACTGAATCACAGGTCTGAGCTCTTGGGCTTGCTGTTGGTTCATGGCTCTTCCAGACTAGATTTGCAAGAGGTGATGTGTGTCAGCTGTGCTGTAGCTGGGAAGGGACAAGGTGTCCTGCACAGGAGCCAGAAGGTAGCCAGAAGTCACCACTTTGGGTTTCAGCTTAAAGCATCCACATTTCTCCTGGCCAAAGCACAGTGAGGAACAGTGGGATAGGAAATGTTACCCATGGACTGTTGAGTAGAAATCCACAAATCTGCTGCAGTGTGTTGTTCTGTCAGGGCCTATGCTGAGTGCCATAGTGTGTTTTGTGACTGACAGACTGTGCCAGCCCTGCAGCCTTTGGGCTGTAGCCACAACTGTTCCTTGTCAGAAAGCGTTCACAGCATGGAGTAAGAAACTCCTTCAGTCACTGTCAGGGCACTGTCTGCCTACTGGATGCTTTGGGACATTTGGGCTGTGGGGAGAGGTGAGGATCCACCTTGGACTAGTCTATCTTTGCCCTCTGTGCCATGCTGGACCTACTGCTGAGCAACCTGATCCTTCCCAGGGGAGGGAGGGAATACCTAAACACTTCTAGGAAACAGTTCCTTTGATTCCTCAGCAGCTGCCTTTGAGGGAATTCCCCACCCCTTGCAAGGGCTGTGTAGCTCTGTCCTGGGTAAGTGTGATTTATGCCAGGACCTGAAGGACACTCTGCCTCCTATGCAGTGCCAGGTCTGTGCTTATGGGCCAGAAACAGCACCAGCAGCACTCTGAGCTCGTGAGCTCCCCTTTTGCCCTCTGCAGAAGGAGTGTGGAAGCACCACGGGGCAGCTCTCCCTGCTCTATAAATAGCTCTACTCCATGGGCATGAGTCATGTGTTTGGGCTGACAGTGCTGTGCTCCCAGCACACTGCTCGTGCGTACAGGATATCCTCACACAGGCTCCCTGCTCTTCCAGGCTGCCCTGCTCAGACATCCTGCATGCATCCTGGCTGTTACTTTGTGGGCCCATTGAGGGCCCCTGGAATAACAGCTGCTGGAGCAGCCTCATGCCCAGCCTTACGTGCTGCACAGCGTGTGGCAGAACGTGGTTAGCAGAGAACTGGTCTCAGAGAACGTGCTGAGCCTTGGGGCCTGGCTCTGTTTTCCCCACTGCAATGGGCAGTGTGACCCCAAATTCACACAGGAACACTGACCATTTTTGAGTGCTGGAATGGCAGAATGGAGACTTTAGGCTCTGGAGAAAGTGGATTTCTAATTGCAGACTGCATTCATGCTTGTAGCTTAACTCTGCAAAGGTTCTGTGTAGCTCAAGGGCATAAGTACAAATTCTGGCACAGAGGCTATCCCAGGGAATCCAAAGTCAGACAGTTTCTGTAGTGTTTCAACCCAACTGATGATTTGTTTCTCCTCCAAGACTGACCAGAGCACTACCCCATGGCTGAACTCGTGCTGCTTTAGATGATCAAGTTTGTGCATCTTTGCCTTCTGGCCTAGTGCAGTTCCTGCAAGTGCTGATGTCCAGCCCAGCCATAGGTGTAGACACTGTTCTGTGATCATCAGTGAAACAGTGAGAAGTGTTAAGGGCAGTTTTTCCCATTTTCCAACTAACTGTGGCTGCTTTTTTTGCAGATGTGGTGGAGAAAGATCCCAACGGGGACTGCAGGAGGTTGGCCCTGCACAACTTGTTGCTAATGGAGAACCTGAAAAAGAAACTTGAAGCTGTCCCTTCCTAGCTGAGGGTAACAGAGATGACCTTTACCTCGTGCTCTTGCCAGCTGGATGCGTTTGGGCACTGCTGGGGCCTCTTCAGCAGTCACCTGGCTGGAGGAGAGGAAGAAGGGGGAAGGGTGCTGAGCTGTAAGCCAGCAAGCCTGACTTGACATCTGGACTTTGTAGTGGAGGCCAATTGAGCTCTCGGTATCCGGGACGGCGTGTACAGATGCAGGAAGGTAGGCGAGCGCTGCCATCCTCCCACCCCCACCCCACACAGCTATTTATAACCTTGGCAGGGCTGAGCACTCAGCTAAAAATACAGGGAAGATCTCAGAGAGCCTTCTTGTCAGAAAAACAGGAGGGCTTGGGCAGGGCCACTTGCCTCCCAGGGCTACATCTATGACCTGCCCCAACAAAGGCTCCCACGTCCCCGTTGGTGCCTGGGGGAGCAGCTGTGGTGCTGCTGCTGGAAGGGATGTCCTGGTGCAGGGAATGGCACTGCTGCTGGGATGCATCACTGGATAGCACAGTGCTGGAAGGGTGCTGGCTGGGCTCTGGCTAGGAAGGAATAAAACTTTTTGTATAGTCTTAGTACAGAGATAAGTTTCTACTGAAGAATAGCTAATGTTCAGATTTTTGACCTTTAAAATCTCCCCTGCCCTTCTTCCCTGAAAGCAATTCAAAAACTTCATCTTCACCCCAAGTTTTGAAGCAACTCAGAAAGCAGGAAGAAGAAACATTCTAAGCAGAAGGGCTGGTTGGTAGGCAGTGTGTGAGTGAGCTGGTACTGCCTGTGGAGGTGCAGGGAGACAGGCTGAGAGATGAGCAGAACCTTGGTTGTTACACTGAGCTTCAGTTCTCACAGTCCTGCTAGAGACAGGGGAGAAATTTGCATCTGAAAAATCTGAGCGTGGCTTGATGTAACTGGTGAGAAGCTTTGCTCACTCAGTGACCCACCTGGAGCAGAGGTTGGACCAGGAGGTATCCAGGGTCCCTCCCAACACCTTTCCATGAATGAGGTTCAGCCCAGATGTCTCTAAGTGGTCACTCTGCCCCACATGACCCTCTGATGTATGTAAGTACAGAAGCTGTGGGTGGGGGAAGTTTGCCTTCAGCCTGCTGGAGGGAGTAGTTTGATTTTTTCAGTCAAGCTCCTACCCAAAGGCAATGGAGATTGTTTTCAGCAGGTCTCACTTGTAGGGAACCACAAATCTGCACCTTAGCAGATCAGAGTTGTACTTGAAAATTTTGTCAACTCACAGTTTGCAACTCAGTTACTCAGCTCTTTTCTGTACTTAGGAAAAGGCCTGAAGTTACAATATGCAGTTCCTGTTGTGTTTTCTTCTGCCTCAAATTTATTAAAATACTAACCCACCTTTCTACAGGATGTACATGTGAATGTCTTTACATTATGTTGCAAGAACATACTAACTCCAATACTGTTGCTTGTACAGTCAAGCAGGAAAAAATCAATTTCTTGGCGATAACCAAAAAGCTGTGTCAGTCTCGTGTGACTGACCTAAGACCCCCAACAAGGGCAGGATAAATCACCTGGTGTTAAAGTCACCTTTCCATTTGGGAAGTGTAGGTTGTCAGGGATCCTCCACTTCATCAGCCACTTCTTCCAGCTCCCTGTTGTCGGTGCTGCTGTGGCCAGTGTGTGGCAGGGCTGGGCTGGGGGCCATGCCTGCCCCTCTGTGCACAGCCTCCACCGTCTGTGGGGACACGTAGTAGCTCAGGTTCGAGGCTGGAATTCTTTTCTGCATCTCTTCCAGGTACCGGTAAGCCTAAAGGAATGCAGAGATGACTATCAGGGGCTGCACTGCTGTGGGGAACCAGTGCAAAGCACATTCAAAATGAGGTTAATCAGCACAGCTGGAGGAACTCGCACTTGGCATCCTCATGTTCCAGCACAGCAGCAGGTCACAGTTCAGTGTGAGCACTGGGGGTGTGTGGCACGTTTGCCCTGAAGGAATGATTCACTATTTCCTCAAATAACTGCAGTTTTACAGTTTTCTTTCTTCTCTGGCCAGGTGGCAAACGCAGCACAGTGTGGTGGCTGAGGCACTCACCCAGTCAGACCCTCTGCTCTCAGCTACTGACTGGGAATGCTGAATGATCTGAATGATCATTTATGCTCTGTGTCCTGTGAGCTTTCTTTTCAGTCCCATCAAATGCAAAATATGGATGTAGTTCCTAAGCTGTGCCACTCCCTGCTGAGCAGCTTGACTCCTGTGAAGGAGCCTCAACCATGGAATGTGTGCCTGGGTGAGAGCCACACCACACCAAGCTGCACAGGTGTACAACACAGGCTCTGGAGGGTGGAGGAATGAAACCTTCACTTACTGTGTGGAATTCCTGCACATGTGCATAATGCTGGACCAGAAATCCCAGGACGTCGCCGTGCCGGATAGCGTCCTCGATGTCCTGTTCAGCCAGGAGCAGCTCACACTGCCTGACTGCTTCTTCAGGGTCCTCAGGGTAAACTCTAGGGAAGGGAAAAAGGGAACTGTTACAGCCTGGGGAGAGCATTCAGGCCAGGCTGGACAGGGCTTGGAGCAACCAGGTCTAGTGGAAGATGTCCCTGCTCATAGCAAGGGGTAGAACAAGAAGGGCTTAAAAGTCCTTTCCAACCCAAACCACCCTGTGATTTTATGATTGCAGTAATCATCTTTCTGGTTACACCTCCCTTAGTCCTCATGCTTCTTTCAGGTTACCTTTCCATCTTTAATGCCAACAGCACTTTTAAAAAATCACATCATGGTTTCCCTGCTAGAAGAATACACCAGCAGCTTTTTGAAGTGAGGCTGCAAATGATGTACTAAACTGCAGGTGCTGGTACAACTCCTGTTCTGATTCGCTATTTCTGTAACCAGTTCCATGCTCTGAATGCTGCAGCTCACCTCTGAGCGTGGATGAACCTCTTCATCAGGGTCATCCTGCTCTGCAGGTGGCTGAGTCTGTTCTCCTGCTCCACAGGGCTCCTGGCTTTGGCAAGGCACTTGTATGCTTCTGCCAGTGCTCTGTGGGCTTTCTCGTAGTTCTGGTACTCATCAATTTCCACCTGCAAGAGGAGATAGAGGTCTTGCTCCAGAGCTAACAACCCAACCCCCTTCAGCAGTCACCGAAAGGGCACATACCTGGGCACATGCATCATAGAAACCTGCCAGGAGGTCAAGAGCTCTCCCTTTGGTGTAGAAGCTGATGATGTTTGACATAATCTTTACATCCTTACGCCAGTCCAGTGACTGCAGGTAGTTTGCTGCCATGATGTAAATCTCTCTCTGTTTAGAAACTCCAGCAAAGAAGATAATTTTCTCAGTGTCTCCAGATTTCAGTAGTGCCCTCATAGCCTGACAATGGAAAAGGGGGAACGGGGGGAAAACGTCACTGTGAGTGCAAAAACACCAGACAAGATGGCTCAGAAGCTTTGTCTGGGTAGTTACTGTAGGAAGTCTGCTCCAAGGTTTGCTTCTCAAAACACCTTTGTGTCAAGGCTAGCCAGACTCACCTTTAACTTGTTTCCTGCTTGTGTGTATTTCTTGGTGGCTATGTGGTAGTTGCCTTGTCTCATGCAGCAATCAGCAATTTGCTCCAGCAGCTCCCGCCGGGACTCCTCGGAGAGGTCCTGAGAGTCCTTGGAGACTGTCATTTTCTCAGCCAGCTCCTCAGTGATGGTCAGGTTCTGCTCCAGGCACAGCTGCAGAGCTTCGTGGTACTGATGGGAGCAAGAGAGCAATGAGGTGTTGCAAACAGTATCATGATACCTCACACTGATTGTGGTACAGCCACAGCTGAGGGTGCTCTGCCTGCAACACTCTGGTGTAGCTATGTGCCCTGACCAGCCCTTGTTCAGGCACACTCTGTCCCATTCTGTTGGCTAACAACATGTTTGTTCTGCTGTGCCCACATTGGTTCTCACCTGTTCCCCCACAGGACAGAAGTGTGGCAATAAAGGTTCAGCTGTTTCACCTCTGAACGTGAGATTTTCAGCCATACTAGTCACATGTGTCAGGCAGAGGATTGATAACACTACAGGTTTTCAGCACATACAATTAAATTGAAAGATTTTGTTAAACATTTTGAGAATCCCATATAGGAACATATAGGGATGATAATCCCATATGGGAACATATAAACATTTTGATAATCCCATATAGGAACAAATTCTGAGTAGGCTATAGAAGAGCTTTTAGCTCAGAAAAGGGCTAATGGCCCCTAAAAACACGGCAGAGAGTCAGCCAGGGGAGCTCCTTAAAGAGGAGAGGGCACAGCACGTGGGCACGGCCAAGCAGCCAGTGCCACTGGTGTGAGGGGAAACAACTTCACAAGTGTCTCTGTGTATCTGTACCTGCACAGCTAAATATCTGTGCTCCTCTAGCAGGGGGAGCAGAAGGCTCAGCTCACCTTCTTGGCCGTGAGCAGCAGCTCCAGTGCCTTGGCATACTGCGCGTGCTCGATGAAGAACCCGGAGCAGCGAGCGAGCAGAGCTGGGTCTGACCTCTCATCCAGGTCCTCAGCAATGAGCTGCAGGGCCCCAAACTGCTGCGTGGCAAAAGCCAACTCCAGGGCTTTGGAGAAGTGTCCTGCCTGCAGGAATAACAAGGGTCAAAGACTGGAATTAGCACTGCAGAGCCAGTTCACAGGATGCCCTGGAGTGGGTTAATAAAGCATTGCCCACCAGGGAGAAATTACTAATACACTGTGGTTCTTACTACAGTGAGAATTTAACATTCCTCTGCTCTAGGAACCACTTCAGTTTAAAGTTTGGGATTTTTGACTTTAAAAACATTTACCTTGTGGTACAACATGACAGCTCTGTCCATTTGCTCCCCCTTTTCCTCGTAATAGCAGGCTGCCTCTATCATGTCTTCTGGGGAGCTCAGGAGGGCCAGGTTCATCAGCTGATCATCTAACTTGTTTGCCTGTTCAAAAGCAAAGGTTTGGCACACACAGATTTCACAGTTCTCATTTCTGGCAAACCTGTGGCTTTATACTGTTACATAGCCCATCACCCCCTTGTGTGTAAAACACCTACCACCTTGTTAGGAACTGCACAAGGAGTAATGGGTATAAATTGAAAGAGGGAAATTTAGATATTAGGAAGGAGTTTGTGAGGGCGTTGAGACACTAGCTCATGTTGTCCAAGGAGGCTGTGGCTGCCCTAACCCTGACAGTGTTCAATAAAGCACTGAGCAACCTGCTCTGGTGGGAGGTGTCCCTGCCATTCCAACCCCTTAACACACCTCAATACTACGAACCAAGCGACTGAGCTTCAGTGATGATAATTGCTTTCAATCAGCTTCTGATGAACTGTACAAAAAAGTCCCAAACCCCTGAGGCTTCACCTTTGGCAGAGGATGCTGTCAGAGACCAGGAGAGCTCTGGTGTGGGCTCTGTGGACGGTCTGCCCTACCTTGCAGAGGCGGATGGCGTTGTTGAAGGCCTGTGCGCGGCTGTAGAAGTGCACAGCCTGTTTGATGTCCTCCTGGCTCTCGTACTGCCGTGCCAGGTGGTAAGATGCTGCCCAGTTCCCTGTTTCATTGGCTATTTCTGCAGCCTGCCAAGGGAATGGTACAGCTTTCCTTTGTGCTCATCCCAGCAATGGAAGCTCTGGGAGCAGCTGCCTCACCTTCTGCACGTTGCCCTGGAAGCAGTAGATACGGACCAGGGAAAAATAATCCTGAGCCAGTGTGTAGTACTTCAGTGCAGATTCCAGGTCTGACTGGCTCTCCAGGTACTGCCCCCACCACTTCCACAGGCTCCTGGAAAGGCAACAGTGTGAATTGCAATGACAAGAGCACCCAGAGGCTGCATTTTACACTCCTGGAGAGCTTGAACTCAAGACTGACACATTTTTTTAGAGCACAGACAGGGCTTTACCCCAACCCAAGGGTGACACTCAAGAGTCTGCACTACATGGGAGGTCACCCAACATCCAACATGGCAGTTCTAATCCTAAAATTATTCTGCATCTGTGGGAGGATCATAGTGGATATGGCAGGGGTTGAACATGGCTGAGAGGATTGTCCCTGCTCTCATATTTCAGACCTGACAGCCCCATGTGGGAGAAGGAACAAGCATAGCACTGACTTGTCTTTCATCTTGTTGACATAGTTCTCCAGGGCTTGTAAATCTTCAGAGAGCATCCGGGGTACCTCGAACCTGTGCGTGTCTGACTTCTCGTAGCTGTAGAAAAGAAGAATGTATTAGGTGTGAAATGTCAACCTCCATGTTAGCTCATTTCCTGTGTAAAACACCCATTTAGTCTTGTTTGACAGACATAGACTGACAACACTGGCAACAACTGCTTTGGTTGTATAAGTAAAATCAGTGTAATACCAGTTGCAAACCACCAGCACCATCAAAAATTAAAAGTTCAGTGGTCCTGCAGGGCACCTGGGATCAAGGAGGTATGATCTGTAACCACAGGGCACTAAATACTGCAAAAGTGCCAATGATGGACCAAAGGAACATTCCAGAAAGTTCCCCAAACATCAAACACACCTGGTTGACCAGCCCTGGGTTCCACATTATGCCTCATCCTTCTGCCACCCACTGCAGCATCAGCATCTGCCACTGCCAGGAGGTCACTGCCCTTACCCAACATCCACCTCTCATCAACCCCTGCCCACCATGGTCATCAATGGGCCTGCCTGGGCACAGAGAGCTCTGCTTCCACTCTGAACAGGAGTGACCTTATATCATCATCATCATTAAATGGAGAGGCTTTATAAAAACCACAATTTCCAACAACTACATGGCACTAAAAATCCCCTGCCCTGACTTCTCATGGGACTCAGCAGTCACAGGAGAGGACCAGGCGCCAGAAGCAACCAAGTCAGACTAAATTCTGCTCCAGCAGTTGTGTCTGGGACTCTCAGGAAAAGTAAACACGCGGTTTTGTCATGGAAAAGGAAGGAAAAGAGGGCAGTGGTCTTCCAGAGACAAGCACAGGATTGGATATGAGTGGGGTTCAGCCACTGGCCCTGACAGACACTTGACCTTTCTGACACCACACATTATTTGCCTGGGAGGGTGCTAGGAAGTTTCACTGGGAATGCTTTCACTCCAGCAGGCAGAAAGCACCAGAAACAGGAAAAGACTTGAATTAATTATTACTGGCCATCACCAGACATCCTCCTTTGCCTGCCCCCACAGGGAGAGCAATTCTCCCAGTCCCCTGGGGTGCCCCAGGCAGTGCTTACTGGGTGAGTGCCAGGCTCTGCTCGCCGGTTGCCTCCAGGTGTTTGGCGTAGTTGTAGTAGGTGGTGCGCAGGTGGACCCGGTCGTGAGCCTCAGCTGTTTCTATGGCTTTCTGCCACTGGTTGGAGGCCTGGTAGAACTTGTTCAAGAGGTCATAGCGTTTGCAAGCCTTGTACAGTCGCTCTGCATCCTCCTGGGAGGGGAACACACAGAACCCATCAGCCCCGACCGTGTCGGTCGCACCGCGCGCTGCACCTCGAGCTGTTTGTCACTGCAGGGCATTGCCATGCAATGAAAGCAACCACCACTCATCAGGCAGGGGGTTAGCCAACCAAATATACCTAGCCTGGAACAGCAGGTTACTGGGAAACAGGATGTTTATGTAAAAATAAGGAAAGCACTCAGATCCTGGCGTTTACCATCCGGGATTGACGCAGGGCAAGTCATGGGTGACCACACTGCTGTCAGCAAACCACCAAAACAGGGGAGAGAGGCTCTGGTGGGATACAGGCCACGCTGCCCACCCAGGGCTGAGGCCTGGGGGAAGGTCCTAACACTTGGGGTTTTTGGAATTGAGAGGGAACCTATGACCTCCCAGCAGGTCTCAGAGGCAGCAGTGCTGGTCGTGGAGAGCTGAGCTCCATTCCTGGGAATCGATGCCGTCAGTTTGAGACAGAATTAGAACAGGAGAGTTCTGCTGATGCTGACGCAAGGGTGAGCAGATTTGGAACTATTATTTTTGTGCTCTGAGAGGTGCTCACTCCTGTGGAAGGAGCATTTTCCTGCTCCACCCAATGCTGTCCAGCTGAACACTATATTTAGTCAACTGAGATTATCTGTCCAAGACAGAAAAATAGTTTCTGTCTCTTATTGTTTCAAATTCAAAAAAGTATAGAAAGTGGAGGAGGAAGATTCCTGCCCTAGGATTTGGTACCAGATAGAAAAAAGCAGCAAAAGTGCATTTCTTTTGTTGCAGTTCTCCTGCTCTTCTTCAAACGGATCTAAACGTCCAAGAGAAGGAGCACCAACACTTCTCAGCCTCACAGCATTCTTTGCCAGGAAGCTTTTCCAAACAGTTTGAATTTTCCTTTTTTATTTCCTTTTAACTCAGAACAGTCATTCTCTCTCTCTCTCTCTCTCATTTATAGTTGTCATATCATTGTAGATTGCTAAATGCCTTTTCAAGCCAAGTTCTAATTATTTGGCCACCTTAAAGATTTCCTTGTCTGTGAAATCTTTCCAAGAGCTGAACAATTTGCACTGATTTTCTCTGAACTTCTTCCAGTTCATCAACATTTTTTTTCTGGTAATGAGACACTCAGGGCTGGAAGTTGCTGTTGCAGCTGTAGCTGCCCTGAACACACAGACAAGAGTTACCAACCAAGCTCCAGGATGTAGCATCTCCTCAAACTCAGCCCCAAACAGAGTTTTGCTCTCATAGCACTTTGCCCATTTTTTATCTAGTTTGTGATTTCCTTATGAACTCAGGGGTATTTCATCAATTCTCTCCCAGTTTTTCCCTCTTACAGATCCTATCCCTGGATCTCTTATGGTTCCTAAACAAAGTTTCTATTGTTCTTATGGATCGTTGATGAAGACATTAAATAAGTGGAATACACACAAATTCCTCTAACTCATTGTGACTCACCAGACATCTCCAGCCCCGCAGGAAACATCTATTTTGCCTAAACTCCTTCAATGCCTCGTGCTCCACCAGCACAGAACCTTAGCCTTGCACTCTACAAACAAACATGCCAAAACAGAACTTGTGTATCCCATACTGGACCTTCAAATATGTTCGTTGAAACATTTTAGCTAGAATAAAATCCTTTCTACAATCCAGTCCAACCTTGGATAATTAAGCTTGGAAGACTTACACCCTAAGGAAACAGGTTTTCTGTTTCTTTCACACATAAACCATCCTATAAAGAGGTTTCCTTCGCTCAGCAGTTTTTCACATGAGAACTAAACTGCTCTATAAAGTCAGTGCAGTGGGACTTACCAGCATGCCCAGCTGGATGGCCAGCACAGCCACCCTGGCCTCCTGCTCTGGCTCCTGCTCCGCCTCGCGCAGTGCCTTGGCTCCCCTCGCATGGCCCATGTGCCCCAGGCAAATCCTGGCAACATCCAACCTCTGAGTCTTCACACACATGCGAGCCATGTTCTCCCAGACTGCCTCACTGTGGGAAAGAGCAGGAGAGCAGTTAGAGTGCTGGGAGGTGTGGGCAGGTGAGGAGTGAGGAGAGTGGGGAAGGTCAGTACTTCGGGCATTTGGGTGTAACAAACTCCAGCTCCTGTGTGAAGATTGAGGAGGAACAGAAACAGCCTCTCACATAAAGGTTAGTTTTGGAGCTGACTGACCCCAGCCCTACAGAAATATTGTGGGGTTTGATTTACTCCAATGTCTAAACAACAGCAGTTATACTTCTGCCCTGGAGCCAGGCTGGGAGAGCTGGGGGTGTTCAGCCTGCAGAAGAGAAGCCTCCAGGGAGATCTTAGAGCCCTTTCCCATGCCTGACTGCACTCCAAAAGAGCTGCAGAGGGACTTTGGGCAAGGGTCTGGAGGGACAGGACAAGGGGACATGGCTTCCCACTGCCAGAGGGCAGGGATAGATGGGATATTGGGAAGAAATCCTTGGTGAAGCACTGGCACAGGTTTCCCAGAGAAACTGTGGCTGCTCCATCTGTGAAAGTGTTCAAGGACAGCTTGGACAGGGCTTGGAGCAACCTGATCTGGTGGAAGGTGTCCCTGCCCATGGCAGGGGGAGCAGAACTAGATGGTCTTTAAGATTCTTTCCAGCCCAAACCATTCTGTGATTCTCTGTGTGAATATAAACATTTACCTCGTGCCCATCACTGTGGTTCTGCTGTAGCTGCAACCTATAAACACTGACAATACCTCCACATCAATGATCAGAAATCAAAATTAAAACGATGAGAAATGTCTTATGTACATAAGCCTCACACTGGAAACATCCTCCTGCTGTCCTGAGTCATTCAGACATGGAACAGCTACTGGGAGCCCAAGAGTTGCTCTCAGTAACAAGGAAAAACAACAACTCAGTTATAGGGAAACAACTGACCAAACAATCATGTTCTAATTTAAAACTTGCATAAAACTGGCACAAAGAAAAGCTTTGTGATGCTCAGAATGAGAACTCCTCAGGGCTATGAGTTAGCACTGCAAAGTTCCCTGCCCAGGCAAGGCAGGGCCAGGCTGAGCACCACACTCCTGGCAGGGACAGAGAACTGCTCAGCAGAAGGACCAGGGCACAACTGACCATTCCAGGCAAGGACAAGCAAAGATTTCCATAGATTCTATTCACATTTGAGGTTATTCAGAATTACATGCAATATGCTTGACTAATAAAAACCATGAGCATTCAAAACCAGCATGTGACTCTCAGGGGAGGTTCAGTCTGTGCAGTTCTTGGGCATCACCACAGCACGATGTAAGGATCTAAATGATAAAAGCAGGGGGAAAAAAAAAGAAGAAAATAATAGAACTGAATGACACTTCAAGTCCTGCCACCAAATTCCCTTCTAGTTTTCCTACAATTAAAATGTTTTCCAGTTTGCAGTGGCTGTGGGAAAGCCCTGCACAAACAGGGGAAAGTGACTAACCGGGAAGCAGCAGAGCAGGTGAGCCACGACGTGCTCTCCAACACACACACCAGAGAGAGGCACAGGAAAAATGCCTAATTTACTTTACAATTGGAGTATCTTCTATTTGCAGTGCAACTGGTATAAAGCTTCAGGTACTAATCAATGCAACTCTGTCACACAGACTTCATCAAGGCCAACTGATGGTCTCTCCTGCCATGGCTGCAGGGAGAGAACTAGAGGGAATGGTCATAAGCTGAGACAGGAGAATCAGATGAGATGTTTGGAAAGATTTTGTCCTTGTTAGGGTGTTCAGGCACTGGAATAGATTGCCCAGGGAGGTGGTGGAGTCACCATCCCTGGAAGTGTATAAGTGTTTGGATTTGACACTGAAGGTTTAGGGTTTAGAGGTTCCAGCAGTGACAAGTTAATGGTTGAACTCCATCTTAGAGGTCTCCTCCAACCTTGATGGTTCTATGATTCTAAGGCCAAACAGTATAGACAAAATAAGAGAGGATCAGAAGTGATAAACTGGGGCAAGTTTCAGAGAGTTCAGAAGTGCTGCTGGTTTAGCAAAGTAAAAATGCACATCTGAGTGTTGTGCTGCATTGCTTACATCTGCATGGCCATGCTGGGAAGGGCTCAGACGTGGCCTCCTCACACCCTGTGCCCACACATCCCCCAGCTGGGGAGCCAAAAGGAACACTGAAACAGAGCATGGTGATTCTGACCTGGAAGGGCCTCCCAGAAACCAGCATCAGATCCTTCTGTGCATCACTACCCAACACAGAAGTGCTGTCAGAAGTCAGCAGAAGGTGTGACCTTCTGAATCTCTGAACAGTTGGAACTGGTTTCCCTTTTATTCCAGCCACTACCTGTACCTGCAGTTGGGAAAAGCAGGAAAAAACATCTTGAAACACCATTGACAGGATTACCATGGTGTTAGTTATGGTCACCTGCTTTGACCAACACAGCAGTGAGCTCTGTGCTCAGGACAAGCTGCCAAACCCCACGTGTGGGCACAGCTATGCTTCACAGCACACAGGAAGAAATCTTTTCCAAGCTCTGCAGGTGCCAGAAGCTGCCATAGCTGTTTGGCTCTGGGTGAAGGAATGCACGTCTGTGCTGGGCTTTGTCGAGCTGCCTACCAGTGAGTTTCTGAAAGGAAATCAAAGCCCTTTTTTTTTTCCGAGCCCTGACAGCTCACTGAAAGGAAATCAAAGCCCTTTTTTTTTCTGAGCCCTGACAGCTCATGAGTCCCTCCGTGCAGGAAGATGAGAGTTCATGGGCTCCAACCACTGAGCGGATGAGAATTCTTCTTTAGACTACAGGGAGTGGAAAATTTTGAAAGGAAATAGAGCACACAGTGTATTTTAAAGTACAAAGTTAAAAGATAGCAGCGTGTAGAGAGTCACAGCAGGACTTAGGAGATGCTGCTCATCATCTCTTGGCTGCATTATGCTTTCCTGGATGGCAACAGTTCCTGCCAATGTCAAAACTCACTGCCTCCCTCTGACCATCCCTTCTCCTGCCTCTGCCCCCCAGAAGCACCCGGAGGAGTGTTCCCCCTAAGGAACCCAAGAGTCCTGCCCATTAGTTTTGCTGTCTCTCGGGGATGTGGGCAGATGGATGCAGGGCTGGTGAAGGAACAAGAAGTAGGAGGTGCAGAATAGCATCACTTAAATCCCAGGGAAAACCCATGGTTTATCTCCCAACAGATCTGTGGGTGAATCCCCAAAGGCAGTGACTCTCCTTTCCAGGCTCGGCCCCACTGTCCATATAAAACGCCAAGGAATGACTTACCCTGCCCCCAACTCCAGCTCCGGGAATTTCCTGTTCTTCCCCTCCTCCTTCTCCTTTTCCCCCCCTGGAAAGCCTCTCACATCTGTGCTTCATCAGACGAAGCTGGAAACTTAACGAAGCCCAGGCACAGCGGGAGCAGAGCCATGGGAATGTGCCCCCAGCACCCCGGGAATGCTGTCACCCCACAGACACAGGATACACCATCCCTGCTGCCCCCGAGCTCCAGGCCACATCCACAGCACCAGGGACTCGGGAAGGAAACAGTGACACCTCTTCAGAGTGGACACAAGTTTTACCACATCTTTGATGAAAAGCTTTTCTCCCTTTGCATCTGACCTTTCGCATCTGTTTTTCTGTGGGACTGTGTTTATATCATCCACAGTCTGATCTCACAAACCCTTCTGTTCCCATATATTTTTCATTGCCTGTTTTTGCATGAAAGTTTAAAGAAAAACTCCTGGAAAAACTGGAATATTTTTCAGAAGTGCTGAGGAATGGCTGGACTCAATGATCTTTTTCCAACCTTTATGCTTAGACTGATTTGTTCAGCCTTTGTAAAACAGAAGTGCTATTTTTTTCCCATGTAACATGCGAAGAAAGTTTGTGCCCTGCTGAAAATACACACTCAAACTTCCACAAATCACAGAAACCAAAGGTGGGGCAGGCAAAGCAGGTGTGTGATTTTTCCCTAAAGGTAAATCTCTCCTGGCATTATCCATATTTAAACATCATCTGCCTTGCTGCTGGATCCTTGGCTTAAGCACAGGATACAACAACAAATAATCCAAGAGATATAAAACGTGAAAATATGGTCACTGCTGTTAGGAAATTTCCCTGAAGCATGGCAGACTCTGGTGTGAAAGTTCTAAAACCAGAGATGTACAGAAACGTGACTGAACACAGGCAAAAAGAAACCAAAGATGCTATAGTGCTCTCGAAGGGATGAAGATGCTCAAAGTACCTAAAGCTTAACCCATTTTAAGATTAAAATGATTCAAGAGCACAGAGGAGGGGTGAGTTCACAGCCATGTTAGCAGATTCAATTTCAATAGCTGAAAACTAATTACAGAGCTTCATCAGAATCTTTCCCCTCCTCTCAGCAACAAGTCTTAGAAAATAAAACATCACCTTGCAAAAACTTTCTGAGCAGTTTGTCTCGGGGTATTGGGTTGGTGCAGATCTGTCGGTTGAGGGCAAAGTCTCTTACCTGGTAAAGACAGAGCTGCTATAAAACCAGAGCAGTTCCTAATCAAAGGTTATTGATTATAGCTGTGTGAACCCCTCAGGTGCAGTAGGTGCCACAGGTCTGTGCCCTCAGCACTCCCTCTCCAGGCTGCTGTCATACCTTCAGCTCACCATGTACGACTGAATTTACACCTTGTGCAGTATTTTTGCAGCCTAAAGAGTTTTGCCAGGCTCAGCTCATGAAGGGCATAGCCCCAGGTAATAACACCTGGTCGTAGCCACGGGACAATGCCTTGTCCTCATCCTGGTGCTGCCAGGAATGGTAAACAGCCACTTGGACAGCCAGTCTGAGACCTCTCTGGAAACATCCATGTCCAAGGACAGTTTGGAATGAGCTCCACACCTCTCCTCAACCTGCCTTGCCCTGTGGCAGTGCATTCTGCACTGGGCTGTGAACAGAGACATCCTACCGAGCATCTTGCAGCAGCATTTCCATCACCCTCTGGCCGTGCCAGCCCCGCACACTGCGGCGACTCAGCATCACCCAAACCTCAACACTCACCCCTGCCTCTGCAGACACCCCCAAATCCCTTTGTTTATCAGGTTGAAAACCTCCTATTTATCTTTATACTTCCTCTCCATGTGCTGCAGTTCTCCCTTGGGGTGTAGCAGGACAGGGACATCAGTGCACCCTCTCAGTGCTTTCACCATGCTGCCCAACAGCAAACCCCAACATTGCTTTGCTTCCAGTAAAAGATATTTCAAAGTGCCTCTCCTCAATCTGCTTCCCCAGAGCTGATGCTCCGAGGGTTGAGGCTGGAATTTCCTTCTCTCCTTTTCCCGAAGAGCTCCACCGTGCTTCCCGTGCTCCCCTCGATGGTCCTGCTGGGGGCTGTGGGAAGGGTAGGAGGCGTGAAGCGGGGAGGGGGCTCACCGAGGGGAGGAGGGACAACTTTAGAAATCTCCATAGTCTTTTCCTTTCAGGAAACACATCCTGTTAATGTTTGACTGCCGTGGCAGTGGCTCT